ATCTACAACTGTCTTAAAATAAAAAGGTTTCAGACACTAAAAATAATAACCCTCAAAATGTTAATTCATACGTGAGCTCAAAACAAGGAAATCTCAATGTGCCATTGAGAAAAGGGAAAGAGAACTGAGAGCAAGTTGAAGCTGAAAGACCCTCATGTCATAATCAGCTTTTCGTGTTGAGTTAGGAATGACTTTCCCAGCAGGGACTGGAATTTGGGGACTAGGGATTAGGATAGAGGCAAGAACTGTGCTCACTTTAATAAAGTCTGAGTCGAGAAATACTGTCCCTGACAATAAAGAGGAATTACAAATATTTCTTTACTGACCTAGCTATATAGTCCGGGAAGTAGGTGTCTAGACCAGGCTCTTGGTGAAAGTGAAGAATCAGAATCCCAACCCAGTGTCATGCATACCTGTGGAGTCTATTTTGCACTGTGCTCCCAGTGCAGAAATCTTAATGAAATAGGGGCTTCCCTGGTGGCACCAGGGGTTAAGTCTCAGCACTATGAAGCTATCTGTAGCCACTGTAGCACAAGTTCGATACCCGGCCAGGGAGCTGACCCACCTGGCACAGCAGACCTCTCCTGTCTTGCCCGCTGCTCCCCTCAGCAGTGTATTTCAGTCAGTCTGCCTGTTCTGTTCCCCGCTCTGTCTCTGGCGAATCCTCTCACTCCCACCCCTGCACTTCTGGCCTACACCCCAGCTCTTGTATGCATAATAAGATAAATTTTTTAAAAGAAATCTAAATGAAATACTAATAAACTACCCAGGGACAAATCCTGCAGGGCTTCTGGCATTAACAACCCCCAAACCACCCCATCAGGATACAGCTCCTGCTGAGATGAACTCAGAGTCAAATTGATTGAAAATACACTTCCTCCATTGAAGAACTGACACTGTACCAAATCGACTACACTGTGCAAATGCAACAAATTCTGTAACATTAAAGTCCTGAAAGCACCGAGGGGAGAAAGACAGTGAAAATGGTGGGGATAACACAGCGAGCTGCTGGGCTGGGTGCTGGGGCTGAGAGTTAGAAGCAGCCTCCAGGAAAATGGGTCAGAACATGGAAGGAAGAGGTTGTCTCAGAGCGACAACCTTGTGTCTTCAGTTTTCAACTCTCTTGTGTCTTCAGTTTTCAACTCTCCGAGTCTGCTCCAAGGAAGACAAAATGAACTTCAAATTATAGACAACTGTGGGAACACAGCCTCCAACATTAGGACAACCACCTCTGAGGCCAAGCATACGCCAGCCCGTAGCCGTGGGAATGAAAGGCAGATGTCCTGCTTCTCATGGCAATTCCTTCCCAAGTAAGTCTTCCCAGATGGGACTGTGTCCTGGGAGTGGTGGAGGCTTAGCGCCAGCTCATCCTAAATCTGCCATCCTGTGAATCTGAGTGTGGGGTCATCCCTGGGTGAAAAGGAAAATAAACGTACTAAAGGTCAGTCTCCAGACAAGTGATGAGAAAGATCAACTACAAATCCAAGCACAGCCTTTTGACTACTGAGGATCACTCTAAGTGGGCACTGGCTATGATGCACGTGAGCAAATGAACTTGAAGCCAGACAACTTGCGGACTCGCAGAAAGGAAAGAAATTCACCAAATGGCTTTGGTGCCATTTGTATTACCATCCATTCACTGGGTAATTATATATGTGAAAGGCTCCAAAATAATTCCAATGAATTGTTTCTTTGGGAGAAATCGACGCGGATCTAACAATTTTCTATAATATTGGCTATGGCATAAATCCATTGCTTAATATTTGCTTCTTCATATTCTTGTACTTAGTATGGATCTGAAATCTGCATCTGAAAATGCCCATATGGAGTTAGTCACTGCTCCCTAGGGTCATTTGAGATTGCAATTTCCCAGTATTCTATTCCCAAGCTCAGAATAATGCTAACCAGTATGTAATTTTCCTTAGAAGCCATAAATGAAAGCAGGGGACAACTGAGAGAACACTTCTCATTGGGCTTCTGGTGTCTTCCCAACCTTGGTGCTGTTCTCAACTCTGGCTGCATGACAGAATCACCCGGGAGAACTGCCACTTTGGAGTAACATTGACTAATACAGCCAACACCCCCTCATGCTAATTCGGTGCTTCATAGCACTTATTACACATTAGAATCTCCTGAGAAGCTTTAACAAATACTGATGCTTGGACTCCATCTTCAAATCAGTTACATCAGAACATCTAGGCCATGGATACTTTTAAAAACTCCCCAGCTGATCCTCATGTTCAGCCAGGGATAAGAGTGACTGCTCTAAATCCTAGCTTCTCAGGCTTCAGTGACATCAGAATGTGCTGCAGTGTTAAAACAAAAAGTGTGAATAAGCAGCAAATAGAGACTGGAGGGAGATTTGTGGTTCCCAAGGATTAGGTGCTAAGACATTTCTTGGGGGACTAATGAGAATACTCTAAAATTTATTGTGACAGTCATACACCTCTGTGAATATATTAAAGTCACTGAATTGTACACTTGACATGGGTCAGGGTAGGTATGTCAATTATATCTCAATAAGGCTGTTAAAACACACGCAGGTAGGTTTTTGCCCACCCCCGAGACTCTGATGCTCTTGGTCTGGAGGTGCGGTCCATGAACTTGCCTTTTTTAATGAGTTCTCAGGGGATACTGATTCTATGGGGCCACAGGCCACACTCTAGCCCACAGGAAGGCCCATGTTTAAACTTTTTTATGAGCATGATAATGATTTCAAGGTCAAATAAATAAATGTGAGCCCACAGCCATTTACCCTGGAGCACTGTGGCCTCTGTATGTTTGTCTCATGGCTCCCCTCATCCCTGTTTGCTTGTCCTTCTAGAACAGGGGCTCTTTCTTCTGTTTCCCTAGTCATGCAGGATCAGGAGTCACTGATACTTCCAGGGCTATCCCAGAGAAATGAAAGCCAGGATTTCAAAGGGAAAATGTGATGCAAACTCAGAGCAAGCCCAAAGAATGAGGCCCATGGAGCCAGAGCTGTTCCCCAGTTCAACGGCACGATGGGTAAGGCCCAAGAAGAAGAAAGAGAATAGGGCATCATTCTTGATTTCACATAGTGTGACCAATTAGGGGCGGAATGATAAATGCCAATACATGAAAATCCAGACTTACAGAAAAAGCAAAGGAAGTCTTTCCAGTGATTGCACAAAACGACTCATCCCCAGAGATCCTTCATAAAATTCAACATTCTTGGTACATTTAAACTGGCACATTTTACATTAATTTTCTCCTGGTTTCCTAGCAAAGTCAAGCTACACAAACGGGATAAACAGAATCCTAAATTATAAAGAACAGGATTTGTACCATACTAGCAGTATCACTGGCAGGATTTGCAATGAGTACCTGTGGTAGAAATGCAAATGCCACCCTAAGGCTGGTTCTGCTCAGCAAACCAGCCCTGCCTCAGGGTAAAGAGCAGTCCTCCTGGCCAGCAAAGAGCGCCCTTCAGGACTCTGGAATCTCTTCCCCTAAGGCCACGCCCGAAACACACCCTTAGGCTGCTGCCAGCCTCCTACTCAAGTCAAAAACCTCCTACCCCTAAATCCCAAAGCATTGTCTGCCATGCAGTTACCATGGGGCTGATACTCTTTGGGGGAACAAAAGGATCAAAGTTTTTTAAAATAGTTTTAAATTAAAAAAATAAGGCTGGCCACATTTTGAGATGTAGTGTGGGTATAATCTAAAAAGAGGAGGTTCCATGTTCCCTGCCCACCTAGCAAAGGGCGAGGGGATGCTCAAGAGGACTTGGGAGAGATTTAGAGAGGAGACTGGAAGAGGCCTGTGGAGCAGAGACATGTGAAGAAGCTGCACTTGCTTCTCAGCCTTGGAGTTGCACCTGGGACTTGGGGGATATGGAAGGAGATACTTGAAAGAGACATAGTTGAGAGACCAGTGGGGAGGCGGAAAATGGCAGCCTTTATCTTGGCTTGTGGTTTGATTTTACTACTTTTCTTCCAGACTTGTCTGGCCCCTTCTGACACTTTCCTGTGGTTCCCCTCCAAAAGGTGCCTCAGATTTATGACAAGCTTACAGGCCTCAGTGGCCCACTTTGGGCCAACCCTGTATGGCTGGTCATTTACCCACTAGGGGATGGGTGACAGTTTCATTGGGAAACTATTACCTTTTCTTCTTGCTCCTCATTCTATGCACACTAATTATAGTAAAGTTTTTTTCTGTTGAAGGTCTTAGGCACCAAGAGTAACTGTCTTTATGTGGCAGATGACAGAACACAATTAGAGTGTGCAATTTTGGGGGTCTTGGGGCACCCCTCTGCCTGCCCGCTAACAATAGCATCAGTAAACTTTTTCTGTGAAGGCCAGATAATAAATAATTTTGGCAACTTCTCTGCTGTTGTAATTCAAAAACAGTCATGGACAATATTAAGCACAATGACGTGTCTGTGTTTCAATAAAATTTATAAAACAAGGGATGGTCCAGATCTGGCCTGTGTGCTATAGTTTGCCAACCTCTCCTCTATCTGATGGGCACTATCCTGATCTCCATTTTACAGATGAGAAAACAGAGGCACAAAGGCACAGCCCCCATCCTACAGGAAGCCTGCTCACCAAGAACACACACTCAACTATGAGAACGTAAAGGCTGATGGCAGCGCCATTGTCACAGGAAGCCTCTCACTCCATCCAAATCCAATTCAAAAGGGGCTGGGCAGTCGGTCAGTCAGCAATACCCCTCAGAGCTGCCTCAGAGACTGAAACCCAACTCCAGTCCTCCCTCTTCTTCCCCTGGTGTCCCTGGTTGAAATTCTCCCTGCCTCCTCTGAACCCCCAGTGTCCTTACTCTCTGTACCTCCCGACTAATTGATCATGTTTTATTTATTATATACTTTCTACCCAACACGTTTGGAGTCCAGAACCATGCACATCACCGGTTCAGTTCGCTTGTGCGGGAGCACTGGTGGGCCATTGGTCATTGGCATGCTGGCCAAGACACCATGAGTTTGGGGGCAGAGGAAGGAGGTGGTGGTTGTGGGCACTCACCAGTCCATGGCAGGCACTGAGGGCTGCAGTCCCAATCCTCGTACCTTGCTGCAGAACTGTACCCTGGAGATGGCAGGGGGGTGCCGAGGAAGTCACTATCTTCACATGGGAGAGGTTCCCGTATCTTCTCTCCACAATGTAGTTTTTGGAAAGAAATCCCTGATTGATCGTCAAGTTAAAAAACAGATCCTCCTCCTCATGTGAAATTCGGTAGTACACCCGGTCTTCTGGGCCATCCACATCTCTCTTCCGCCTGCTGTTGGTGATGAGATGTTGCAAACCGTATGATAGAAAATGCCCACTCGCGTCTACTCGAACAGGACCCACCACGTGGTATTCTGGCAGGGCATTGATGAAATGCTCTAGAAGAAAAGGAGACCTAGAGTAACACCAAGAGAGATCCCTGCTGGGCAGGTCTATAAGCAAGGCAAATGCACTTCTGTTTAGAACTTAGATTTTTTTAAATTGTATTATTTTTATTGTGGTAACAATGTTTTACATGTATATGATTTGATTAGTGGTTCACACCTCTTTAGAGATATGTTAGCACATAGGCCCACCATCAGAGGACCCACGATTCTCTATTATAGTTCATTGGGCTCCCTCCATTGTTCATGCCCCCTAACCCCCAGACTCAATTGTAAGTCAGGTTTCTGGGGTTTGCATTGGTTTGTTTTGTCTGTGAAACTTAGATTTTAATTGATCGATTGCAAAATTCCGAGGCTGACTTGCCGGCAGAGGTCCCGTCCACCACACAATTACTGGACGCTGCCCACAGAAAACACCCAGCACAACTCACAGCTGAGACAGGGCCCTCCTGGACAGCATGTGGCAGCCTGAGCAGACAGGCAGAACAGGGATGCCAGATGTTTCACCAGAGACCAATTAAGATAGAATTACTTCATGACAAATACTTTGAGGGACCGGGCAAGGTCACCATGATGAACAGGAACATTTCAAGTCCAGAGCCACTTAGTACATATCACAGAGCTTCACTGTTTATTACAGGACTTTAATTGTGTCCAGAACTTCCCATTGAGGCAGGGTAGTGGAAAAACACAACATCACAGTGAGCCCAGCATATCCACTTGCCAGGCTGCACCAGCTACAGCCTAAGTGTTCCATAAGGTAGCCAGAGTGCACAAAGGACTTGGGGGTTCCTTTTTTATAGTTTCACAAATTATGCAAAATAAACACAAAATATACAAATAAAGTGGTAGGGGAACACAGTAGGATCTGAGACTTAGTCTTAAAATATGAAAACTGCCATCTTACAAATGCAAGGCAGAAGCAGTCACTCCTTCCACCTGAAAAAAATACATCCACCTTTTAACTTCCTCAAATTTACATCCCCGCCACTGCCTCCTCATTTTGACATTTGAGAATAACAAGGGATCTAACTAGCTGGAACTAATCATCACTCTGGATTACAGGTTAGTTAAAACAAACCATGTACCACTTAGCAAGATAAACTAATCAGAAAAGGCAAGGATGGGAGGTAGAGAAGGAGAGGACGGTGGGAGGGAGAGGGAGGGATTGAAGGGGAAAATTCTACTTGCCACCTCCCAGCTGCAGTCCTTGCACTAACTTGCATTGCTTTGCTGATGTCCTTCCCCAGCTACTTAGTATGTCCTTTGCAATCGCTAGCAATATCCTGTTTAGTCCTGGTTTGGTTTATTTTTTAATGCAAATTTCTGAATTTTTTTATTTTTTACATCAGTGTTCATTTCATTTTTATTATTTTTTAAAGATTTATTTATCTATTTATACAAGCGCTGGGTACAGTCAGAAGTGCGGGAGGGTGAGAGGATTCACCTGAGCCAGAGAGGGGAGCACACATTGTTAATTTTTAAACAATATTTTTTTTTAAAGATCTATTTATTTATTATTTATTTATTTTATTTTATTTTATTCTGGGTATAGTCAGAAGTGTGGGAGGGTGAGAGAATTCACCAGAGCCAGAGCGGGGAGCAGAGCAGGCAGAAGGACCGAAGTACACTGCTGAGGGGAGCAGCGGGAGGCAGGAGAGGTCTGCGCGCCATGTGGGACCCTCCTCCGGTGGCCAAGGAGCAGCCGGGGATCGAACCGGTGCTGCAGAGGCCGCGGGCAGCTTTGCAACCCAGCGCTCAACCGCTGCACCACCGGGGAGGCCCAACAATATTTTTAAAGCCCCAACTCTGATGCTCTCTCTTCTTTCTCCCAATGTCCCTGGTTGAAGTTTTGAAGTTCTCTCTTTCTCCTCTGAACCTCCAGTAGATATCAGACAGCCTTATTTTACAATGCTTTTCTGTTCATTACACTATTTCTCCTCAAACTCTTTGGAGCACAGAATGTTGCATATTTGCATATCGTCTATGCCTGATTCATACGCATGGATGTAACTGTGAAAACATTTGTAGCTAGATAATTAAAAGATTTGCACTTTATCAGATACAATTAAAAAAGACCTCCCCTTTCCCCAGGCAACTGCCTTCAAACACACTCTGTAGAATTCTTCCTCTCTGCCTCAGAAACATGACAGAGAACAGCTTTCACTCTTAGGAAACTAACAGTCTCCATCTTTAGGAGTAAAAAGCCCAGACCCATTGCTTCCTCTGCAGCAGTTAGGAGCAACAGACCACCAGCAATGTGAATAAATCTTGAGAAACAATGCTCCATGAAAATAAAAACAAGTTCATACAGAGTCATTTACATTAATGGCAAATACACACACACTGAAACAATACAAAGTTTGCCAGAATATAAGCAAACAACAAAAAGATACAAATGGAACCCATTAAAATGGAACAGTTTTCTATGAGGAATGGGAGTGGGAATGGGGATTTAAAAATGCATAAATAAAACACAAAAAAAGGGTTTTACGCAAATTAATAATACTAGAGCCATGACTAGGGGTCAACTTGACCAGTCCTCTGTACCACCTGCTTTCCAAGGAATATCTGGACCTATTACGATCAGATATTCTGTTTCAAGGTCAGAACCTTAGGAGAGGACTGGCCAGCATAGTGGGGTGCATATAGTTCAGCTTTGCAGTATTTCTCCTATGTCCCCTGTCCTTTTACTTGCAGTGATATCTCTGCGTCCTGCAGAGTTGGAACAGTATGGGGAAGTCAGGGGCAGGAAAAGTCTTGCTCCACTGGGTATAACTGTCATCTTGTAATGGTGCCCCTTATAAGGTCAATGTCCAGATGTTGATTCCTTTTCTCCAGATGTTGATTCCTTTTCTCCTACCCCTGATTAGCCTGCCTGTGAAGATAAAGCTCAAAGAGTTAAACACAGTTTGTCAAAGTATAAAAAACTAAAGCTTACCTAAGCCCAGCACATTTTGCCCAAAAAATATAAAGGCAAACAAATTTACAGCTTCTGAATCCACTGCTTTTTTTTTTTTTTTTAAGATTTATTTATTTATTTGTTTGTTTATTTATTTATTTATTTACAAGCACTGGGTACAGTCAGAAGTGCGGGAGGGTAAGAGAATTCACCAGAGCCAGAGCGGGGAGCAGAGCAGGCAGAAGGACCGAAGTACACTGCTGAGGGGAGCAGCGGGCGGCAGGAGAGGTCTGCGCGCCATGCGGGACCCTCCTCCGGTGGCCGGGGAGCAGCCGGGGATCGAACCGGCGCTGCATAGGCTGCGGGCAGCTTCACAACCCAGTGCTCAACCGCTGCGCCACCGGGGAGGCCCTGAATCCACTGCTTTTGATCTGATGGGTTTTTGAGAGAATCAGTATAAGCTGTTTGAGTAATGATATGATGATAAAAATTTGTTATTAAACCATTTTGTGGATTAAAAAACTGATAAGAGATCACAGTGCTGCTCAATATGCATCATTACTTGGATTACAGAGCTAATTCATATGTGCCATTATTTGGATTAAAATCAAGAGCTTCTTATTTCAAAATCACCTTCTTAGTGATTTCAAAATCACCTTCTTACTTCCATGAGCTGTTGTTCTTGGGAGAGTATAACAGAGTAGGAGAATGAGCATTGCCCCCTGGGGATGATGACTTGACAAGAAAAGCACTGCTTGGCTTTTTTTAAGAAGCTTTAATTAGCTCAGCAATAAGTGGAGATAATTGCCTCTTTATTGGGCAGAGTGCTGGGACATAAGACCAATTTGCCTCTTGATGTCATTGCAAAGAACGCAGCTAAGCCATGTCAGCACAGAGGTGTGGATGGAGAGAGATTACTTAGAGTGTGGTTTAAGCTGGTGACCCAGCTGCAGCTGCCTCATCTATACTACAGACATAATGTAACAGGGTGGTCCCCAGGAAAGGGGGAGGTTCCCTGCCCCACCCAAGGGAGGGTGGAGCTGAGCAGGGAGAGGAGAAGCTGAAGAAGAGACTGAGGAAGGAAGGAAGCAGGATGGAGCCAGGAGACCTGGAGGAGGCGCATGGAGCCTAGAGACACGTGAAGAAACTGCGCTTGTCTTTTGGTCGTGGACTGGGTGACACAGATGTGGGTGAGACCCGTGGGGAGGTGACCATGGCAGCTTTTATCTTGATGTTGATTTTGCTCTTTTCCTTCCGGGCTTGTCCGGTTGTTTCTGACCCTTTTCTGTGGATCCCCACTGGAAGGTGCTTCAGACTTGTGGCAGGCTTTGGGGCCTTGCTCTGGGCAGATCCCATTTGGATGGAGTTTTACCCGCGAGGGGACGGGTAACTTTGGGTGCTTGATTTAGAAACTAGATTCTTTGCCTTTCCTGTATTGTTTCCTAATTAAAGTTCCTTCCCATTAAAGTCTCCTATGTTTTTGTGTTAATGCGGCGGATGGCAGAACCCATTTAGAATAGGCAATAGGCAGGTTTGCGGTGTTTTGGGCTACCCCTCTCCCTGTCCTATAACAATAACAACAGTAGCCACCTCCTACGGTGGCTGTTAGGCGCCAAAACATTGCTCTCTGTAATAGATTGTGAACAGTGCTTGACAAGTAACGTCCACTAAACATTAGCTATTGTTGATATTAGAGATAGAAGCGTGGCTCCCAGAGATCACTGTAGTTAAGTTTTGGGGGAGTCAAGAATTATGCAAGGTTTGACTTCCCTTGAACATGGGGGATAGGGAAGCCAAGACCCACATAACTTGACCCCCCCAAAACTTAACCACAGTCCCTCAGTCTCCCAGGAGAATGGGTTTCAGGACCCAACCTGCCCACATCAAAATCCACAGACGCTCAAGTCCCTTCTAGTCAGTCTTCTGTATCCATAGATTCAACCAACAGACATCTATAGTTGGTCAAATGAGGGAATGTGGAGCCCCCATAGAAAAAAATCTGAATTGTACAGTTCAAACCCCTTTGTTCAAGGGGTGACTGTATATATAACCTTCAAGAGATAGGGCACACACCTTGGTCTCCTCTCAGTAG